ACGCTTTTTCTTTAGGCTTCTCTTCACGCTAACAACCATTTAGTGTCCAGAGCAGCAAGCACATCACAGACTTAATGCTAAAGAGAGTGAAGACCCAGAAATAGATCACCCAAGGAAAGACACCAGCCAAGAGATTAACCCTCGAGCCCTTTCCAAGATAACCACTTATCTTTCCTCCTAAACCCAACACTTACTGAAGATTGATGTCTCTAACAAGAGGCTCAAACTTGGGACCTCCAGGAATAGCCATGTTCAGTGCCTTGGAGGTAAAGAAAGCTTTCAGGTCGAACAAATAGAAGTAGTTGTCATCCACAAGGTCAGTGAGCAGCTGGTTGGCCAAACGATACAGTGTGGACATCATGGGGAGAGTGAACTGCCAGCGCTGGTACGTTGAACCGTTCACATACCTGTGAAAGAACCAAGCACAGACACTCAGTTCATTGCCAGAAGGCAACTGGGCCTTTACCAAAGAACTAGAAATAACCAAATACCTTTCATGACCCATCATTCGCAGAAAACAACAAGGATAGCTAGCACATGGGCCCCTCCAGATAGAAAGAGAGGCTGCAGGACAGCTAAAGACCAATACAGACTTCATCTGCCCAGAAAATACTGACTGCTCCAGTTTCTCTCCTCCTCCATATCCAAACTGACACACCACATACATGAATTCAAACTGCTACTAGACAAGACAGGTTGTCATCATTATGGCATGGTAAGAAACATCAGTGTTAGCAGTTAAACAGGCAGCAGCCCTCCTGGACAGAGAAGACTTGTTTCCCAAGAAGCTGCAGACGAGGTATAGCTTTACAAGAGTCAGGTTCCCCCTCTCATCCTTGAAGGCAGGCTTTTCTCCCCCCACCAACATCACACATAGCCCAGCATAGCACAACCAAAGGTTATATACTGCTATGTATAAGTAATTTATGTAGTGCATCTGGTTCACCCCTCTCAATGAATTGCGGTACCAGAGGCACATACTTCCTGTTGTCTTTTAGTGGCTGGTGGTCATAGAACCAGTCCAGCACTGGGGCATCTTCCTCTGGATCCAGCTCGAGCTGAATGGCTTCCAGGGGTTCCACATCCAGGATGTTATCAGCATAATCCAGAGGGGGTTCTTCATCATCAAACGGGGGGAACCTCATCCTCTTGAAGTGACGCCTATCCCTCTTCTCTCGCCTCATCATAATCCACATTGACCTGGTAGAAACACAGAGGCCATTAAATATCACTTTTATTATGGATGCACAAATGTTTGCTCCCAGGTTCCCACCAGGACAAAGGAAGAAGGCACTTACCCCCACTGAGCAATGTACACAGGCTCTATGACCCAGGGGATCTCATTCACAAAAGAGATGGCTCCTGTGATATGATACAGGACTGGAACATCTCGGATTTGCTCCCATGGCATGGGCATGTTCTCCAGGAGCTTCAGCACAGCATGAGGCATGTACTTCAGAGCACTGCAATCAGGAATCAAGGAGAATGAGGGCTGGAAGGGACTCTCAAGAAAAGAAGCATCCACTGCCACAAGCCAAATTACCTCCACACCTTTCCCTGCTGGAAACTGCTCATCTAACCTGCTCATAAAGGCCTCCAGTGATAAATTCATGTACTGTGCACACTGTCCTTGTGCTTCATGCATTGTATTACCAAAAACTGTTCCACTGGTTTGGCTTCCAACAGATTGTACACGTTAAGGGTGTTACAGATGAAAACAGGGAGTTTCTGGACATTTTATGGGCAATGAATAGTACATTAGTGCAGTGGACATGACATGCATGAGATAAACCCTCTCAACCAGGATAACAAACAACACTCACAATGCCTTTTAATATTGCAAAAAAGCCCATGCTGGCTACTTCACACTCTCCCCAAAGCTTCTTCTAAGACAACGTGTTAACCAGAGGAATGTTTTTCTCCTAAATTCAATGCAACAACTTCCTATCCTAACCCCCTTCTGCACTGCAACCCTTATACCCTTATACATAGAGAGTCATAGGATAGTTAGGGTTGGAAAGAACCTTAAAATTATCCAGTTCCAACCCCCCTGCCATGGGCAAGGACACCTCACACTAAACCATCTCACCCAAGGCCTCATCCAGCCTGGCCTTGAACACTGCCAGGGATGGAGCATTCACAACCTCCCCGGGCAACCCATTCCAGTGCCTCACCACCCTAACAGGGATGAATTTCCTCCTTATATCCAATCTAAACTTCCCCTGTTCAAGTTTGAACCCCTTGTCCTGTTACTACAGTCCCTAATGAAGAGTCCATCCCCAGCATCCCTATAGGCCCCCTTCAGGCTGCTATGAGGTCTCCATGCAGCCTTCTCCAAGCAGTATATGCTACATATATATATATAATATATATATATATAAAAAAAGGATTATCCAATCCTCATCAAGCTGCTCTGTACACACAGCAGACACAGAAAGCCCTTTGGAAACACCCTCCAACGATGCTCAATGAGCCGCAACCAGGCCTCAGATCAGCTCCCCTCGTGTCCCACAGGGCCAGGGGCTGCCTTACCCCAGGTAGACGCGTTTGTCGTGCCGGAACTTCCTGTTGGTCATGTCGCCGTGGTCGCGGATGATCTTGCGGACGTGCTCGGGGGGCATGTCCTCCTTCTGCGCGTCCACGAACCCGAACTTTCTCTTCTCCGCATAGCGCTTGGCCTGCAGCTGCTGCCATTTGCGGGCTGTACGGACACAGAACCGGGCGGTATCAATCCCTGCCCCGCTCGGGAAAGCACCGCAGCCCCGAGGCCGCCTTAACCCACCTTTCTCCTGCAGCTTCTCCTCAGACATGTAATCGGGCAGCGGCGCCAGCGGGGTGGGCACCGGCGCGCAGCCGCCGCGGTACGGGAACACGGCGGCCATGGCGACGCACCTACAGAGGGATGGGGAAAGGCTCAGTGAACCGACTGGGCCGCTCCCCCGCCATCGCACCGGCACCCCCCTCCCGGCCCTGGGCCCCCGTAGCCCCCCGGCCGCCCTCACCGTTAACCCAGCGCCTCCGCACCACAATGGCGGCCGCCGCCACCACCACTACGGAGCCACGGAGACCCGGATGTGTGCGGGCCGCGCACAGAGCTAGACTATCCAATCAGCTTTCGGAGGCTGAAAGCGCAGCCTATCAGAACGCGGAGGAGGCGGGAACAAGGGCGGGAATAGGAATGGGAGCTGTTTCCGGAGCCTAGTAGCGGTGGGATGCCTGGCTTTGTTCAGTCCCGCCCCCTCTTGCTTTTGATTGGTGGAGAGAGGCGACGGGAGTGCGCGGAGCCGGTCCTGATTGGACAACAGGTGGCGCGGATCACCCTGTGCTACCTATAGAGGGCACTGTGCGGCAAGGGGTAGGGGAGGTGGTGCTGGGGGTGAGGACCCTCTATGGGTCCCCTATGGGGCGGTGTGTGGGTCCCGTATGGGGTTGGGGAGGGCGGATATAGGGCAGAAGCTCTTGCCGGTGGGGGTGCCCAGAGAGCTGTTGCTGCCCCATCCCTGGCAGTGTTCAAGGGCAGGTTGGACACAGGGGCTTGGAGCAAGCTGCTCCAGTGGGAGGTTGGGGCTGGATGAGCTTTAAGGTCCCTTCAACCCAAACCATTCCATGATCCCATCTCCCTGGGATACACGACATCCACATAGCAGAATCCAGGCAGAGGCTGGAGGGCATTGCTGTGCTAACGATGGAGCAGCTCCTGCAAGACTGGGTGCAAATGGCTCAAACCAAAGAGAAATCCCTGTCTGCCTCCGGGTAGGAGCACACCTCACCTTGGGGAAGCAACAAACCCAAACACCACCAGGTATCCCCTGCAAGCTCCTCTGTGCTCTCCACAAATAGAAACCTAAGCAGCTTTGGCCACAAGCCGCCTCCAGCCTCCCACTACCAGCACGCATCACTTGTCTTTCCCTGCCCAGAGCAGGGATGCGCCTGCTCCCTGATGCTCCCCTTCTTCACTCCCTGTAATGAGTTGTTCCATTGGGTTTTCAAACCCAATGAGAGGGTTTGAGCTCAAGGCTGTTTGAAACACATGATGAATACACGTAACCCTGAGGGGATGGTTTTGATTCTATACACAGTGCTGGGGAGCAGTGGGGAAAGGAAACGTGGAGTTAAAACTAAAGGAATCCTGATTCCTTGTCCTGGGAAGCTTCCATAGAAAAGAAAGAGGGGGGAGAAACCCCAAGAGAGAGGTAGGCTGTGCCAGTGTACAGTGTATTTTCACTCTGATGGGGAAACATAGGGTAAGAAGCACTGTGCTAAGCAGTGACACCCCTGGAGCACTGGGTCCCTTTTCCCCTCTGAGCCCTTTTCCCCTTGAGCTGTTTCATTTGCAGCCGTTTATTAGAAGCTGGTGTTAGTAAGAGCGTTACACTGGGCTCAGCAGCAGAACTTCCCATCCCTAATAGATGCCTATGCCTGAAAACACATCCATGGGAAGCGACCATCACCTAGCACCATCCTGGCCAGTGGTAACGCTCATTTATGGGCACTTAACATAGCTGGGAACAAACCAACATGGAAAGAAAGCTCTGGTTGTTGAGAAGTTGGTTCCCCATCCCCAAGCACAGCTCCCTGCTCCTGACCTGGGCATCCAGGCAGCTCTCAGCCTCCCCTCCATCACCCACATTGGACAATCTCCTAGGGGAGGACTCTTGAGGGCAGGGTTTGGCTTTCACAGGGTAAAGCCTTGAGCCTTTCCCGTGGGAGATGGCACAGGGAACACAGGGCTGAGCGCGGTGTCCTGTGGTTGATGGGACACTGCAGCCCTAAAGGGGTGAGACACACACTGTGGTGTCCGGATGTCCCAAAGAGCAGTGGGGAAGCAGCGCTCTTCTCATCCCAATGGTGCCTTGTGGGGCTGTGAGAGCCATCGAGCTTCCCTGAGCAGCTCCAGGGCATCCAACCACATCATCCAAAGGTATTGGGGGCAGCAGAACCCCATTAGGCCATGATGTGGGACCTGCAGCCACAAGAAGATGCTGTTAGTGCGGACCCGTGCTCAGTCTCCATTGCACCTCACTGTCCTCCTCCATCCTTTTGGGAAAGGGGCTATTGCTCCTTCTCCCACTGCGCATCCCGGCTGCACTTGCAGAAGTCACTGCGCAGCAGGCGGTACAAGAGGATGACGTTCATGGGTGTCATGATTGCCATTCCCACTGTGCCTATGGAGTACGTTGCCAAGGGCACGTTCCCCCGGTTGAGGAAGAGCCACCGGCTCATCCAGGCCAGCGTGGCGATGCGGAACACCACGTAGGTACCCAGGTTGAGGATGCTGTTGAGGCGGTAGCAGGGGGTGTGCACCAGGTTGGCCATGAGCAGGATCTGCCGCAGGTGGAGGAAGATGGAGTTGATCTCCACCAGCAAAGCCACCAGGGCAAACCCGATGTACTGATGGAGCAGCACTGCGGTACCGAAGCAGACAATGACCTGGGAAGGGGAAAGGAGAGAGGTTGAGCCCAGGGGTTGTTTGTTCTCTGCTGCAAGCTGGAGCGCTCCATGCAGTTCTCACACCAGTGCTAAGTGGTTTAGCACTGGTGTGGGTAGTCCAGATAGTCGCCTTTCTCATCCCATTCCTATAGTGGTTTAGCACTGGATTGGAGAGCCCAGCTCTATGTTGTGTCATCACCCCACACGTATCGCTATCACTGTAGCCTCCAGCATGAGATGAAACCTCCCCATCACTGAATGAAACAGCAGTGTTGGGTTGGTTCTTTTTCCAGTGGGAAGGGAGGGAAACACTTCCATAAACTCCAGGCTGGAAGAGGAGACAGAGCAGCCAGACCTAACCCTGCTGTTGCAGCCTGGGAATGCAGCTGGTTGTGCCTGGGCAGGTTGTTCCACACTCAGTGTATGACCAAATGGGATGGGGAGATGGGGAGATCATAGCTTGGGGGTATGGATGCTGCTGGCTCAGGTTTGGTGCATCAAGGAGCCCCATGGCATACCCCAAGCCCTAGGGATGCTGCAGCAGAGGATGGGGCTGTTGGGCCAGCTGGGGGAGCAGGCTCTGCCAGCCCATGCTTTAGCACACTGAGTCCTTTCTTCAGTTGATACCATTAATGCTGTTCTCTGTATGGGCTCTTTAATGAGATTATCTGCTCCCAGCTCCTTAAATCACTGTCTTGGCCTGAATTAGCTCTGGTTTGGATGTGACCTTCTGACTCACAAGCAGTGGCCAGCATCGCTGCAGGGCTCTATGAGACAGCAGCTCTGACCATCGCCTTCCCCATCTCATCCCAGTGCTGCCCCTGTCCCCCATCCCCTGCGCCTCCCCTGTACCCCCCACTGCTGCTCGTCTTCGGGCTGTGCCACCCCCTTGCAGCATCCACAACCATAGAACCCTGGTGGTGCAAGTGCCCCATGGAAAGCAGCCCCTGGACTCACCACGGAGTGATGGAAGAGCAGCTCCCAGGACTGGTGAAGCTTCTGATGGCACAACATGTCCACAAAGTCTTCGAGGAAGTAACCTGGGATCAGAGAGGCCGTGAGCAAGGGAAGGGCTGTGCTAAGGGACCCTCAAACTGCACCCCAATGGGCTGTGTGGGCAGCCCCTCCAGGGACGTGGTGGCCACAGCGATGGGATGGCTTGGATGCAAGGAGGTGACGTGGGGCCAGGAGGAGGAAGGATTCACACACAGCAGGGCTCAGAGCTCCTGGCTCCCACCATGACACATTCAGCTTGAAGCTGAGGGGTGACCTGCACCAACCCCGTATCAGGGGCACTTCTAGGATGCTCCAAGCCCTGTGTACCCCATGCGGATGGCGGTGGGCAGCCCGGAGCCCAGTGCCTCCTGGCTGTGGGTGCTGTGGGACAGAAAGGAGCCACTGTCCTTGGCCAAGAATAGGGCGATTGTTTGGGGTGCCTGAGACATCTCTGCCTGCGACGTGGCTTGAGGGGCCGGTGTCAGGCACCACCGAGCCCCTGGGGACCCCTTGGTGGGGCAGAAGAGGGGAAAGAAGAAGGGGCAGCCCTTTTCCCACTCACCTACAGACACAGCGACCAGGCTGTGTGCCCCGGGGGGGTGCGTGCCCACCATGTCCTCAGACAGCCCGGGGTGGAGGCAGAACCTGTGGGGAGCAGGATTGTGAGTGCTGGGAAATGACTCTGGGTCCCCACTTCCCTGCCAGCATCCTTGGTACCCACCTGGTGCTGCTGAACCCCCCTGGAGCCCTCCTGTCCCCATTGTCCCGTTATGGCCATCCCTGTCCTCCAGTTCCCTGGGGATTCTCCCTATCCCTTGCTGCTCTTGTCCCTTGATCCCTTCTCCATCGCTCAGCGACCCCGACTTCCCTGCCAGCATCCTTGGTACCCACCTGGTGCCGCTGAACCCCTCCTGTCCCCATTGTCCCATTATGGCCATCCCTGCCCTCCTGTTCCCTGGGGATTCTCCCTATCCCTTGCTGTTCTTGTCCCTTGATCCCTTCTCCATCACTCAGCGACCCCACTTCCCTGCCAGCATCCTTGGTATCCACCTGGTGCTGCTGGACCCCCCTGGAGCCCTCCTGTCCCCATTGTCCCGTTATGGCCATCCCTGTCCTCCTGTTCCCTAGGGGCTCTCCCTATCCCTTGCTGCTCTTGTCCCTTGATCCCTTCTCCATCACTCAGCGCCCCCCACTTCCCAGGTGCACAATAATCCTCAGGCTCCCCCAACACCCCTATTCCCAGCATCCCTATGACCCTATGATTCCCATTGGGGTCGCCCAATGCCCCCCATTCCCCTCCAGCACCCCTGGTCCGTCCGTCCCCCCCCGGTTCCCCTCGGTGCCTCTCACCCTGCCAGCGCCCCGCCGCCGCTGAGCACGCTGTGAGCCAGCGATGTCCAGATGTTGCGCCACTTCCAGCGGTTGCGCCGGGCCGACGGCGGCGGCGGCACCAAGCGCTCCAGCCCCCGGTTCAGCAGGCGGAAAGCGGCGAAGGACCCGGCCACCACCAACAGCCCCGGGCTCACGGCCATGGGCACCCAACGGCCCCGCGGCCTCCCGACGGCTCCGCCTCGCCCGGCTCCGGAGCCCGCCCCGGGTACCGGCACCGCCCCGCCGGGAAGGATCGGGGATGCGGGAGCATCCTCGCTGCTGGTCCTGGTACCAGCATCCCTCCTGTCAGAGATGGGGACACACTGAGGCAGTGCTGGTCCTGGTACCAGCATCCCTCCTGTCAGAGATGGGGACACACTGGGGCAGTGCTGGCCCTGGTACCAGCATCCCTGCTGTCAGAGATGGGGACACGCTGGGGCAGTGCTGGTCCTGCTACCAGCATCCCTCCTGTTAGAGATGGGGACACACTGGGGCAGTGCTGGTCCTGGTACCAGCATCCCTCCTGTCAGAGATGGGGACACACTGAGACAGTGCTGGCCCTGGTACCAGCATCCCTCCTGTCAGAGATGGGGACACGCTGGGGCAGTGCTGGTCCTGGTACCAGCATCCCTCCTGTTAGAGATGGGGACACGCTGGGGCAGTGCTGGTCCTGGTACCAGCATCCCTCCAGTCAGAGATGGGGACACACTGGGGCAGTGCTGGCCCTGGTACCAGCATCCCTCCTGTCAGAGATGGGGACACGCTGTGGGGCAGTGCTGGCCCTGGTACCAGCATCCCTCCTGTCAGAGATGGGGACACGCTGGGGCAGTGCTGGCCCTGGTACCAGCATCCCTCCTGTCAGAGATGGGGACACACATCACTGTGTTGAGCTGGGAAGCCCTGACTTAGAACACCCCTCAGGCATACACTGTGGGCTCTGACTGCACATCAACAAGCAGAAAAGCCTGACTTCCCTCTCAAACAAAGCACCGTGTCCACAGCGCTGCTGCCCTTTGCTCCCTGTCCTATGGCTATCCCAAGAGGAGCTCCCCGATGGCTGGGATACCCCAGCTCTGCTGTGTGGGGTTTGTGGGAACTCAGGACCCTTTCCCCACAGTCTCTTTAGTTCCATCCCACAGTGACGCTGCTTTTCCAGCTGCCTGGAATCCCATTGCTCCCTCGTTGCTTTTTGATGTCTCCACCAGCACAGACCTCCCTCCTGTGCTGCAGGCCCTGAGTCACTGTGTCCACACTGATCAGCGTCAAACTGCCTCTCCTTTGGATGAAACCTTCCCCTTTCCCTTTGCTAAAACAGAAAGAGTGGAGCTGAGCCCCCAGTCCCTGCCCTAGCCGGGGTGATGGGCAGGAAAACACCAAGTAAACCATTGCTAAAGGGATGCTAAGGAGGAGAGCAATTAAATCAGCCCTGAAGGAGAGGGAGGAGAGCCCCAACTGTTCACACTGCAGAGATTTGCTTAAAAGATGGGCAGGCCAAAGTAATTTCATCCCAGTTAAGTGGCCGGGAGATGCTTCCTGAAGTGATCAGCAGAGCTGATTGCTCGGGGGGATTATAAGTAAGCTCGTGTATTAGGACTTGAAGGATCACACAGGCTAAGCTGTTAGTGAGAAGGCCAAATGCAAAGACATTTGTGCTTAGCATGAGATATGCTGAGGAGATGGAGACATTGCCTTGGAGACGGTCCTGAGGAGTCATTCCATGATTAACTGCAGTATAGAGCTGCAGAGAGCTGATTTCCTAATGGGAAGTCATCAGTGATGGTTTAACCTCAGAGTCCTAACTGCCCCTTTCCCTGCCTGCAGGTGACATCCCAAACCATGGAATGCCTGCAGGCTCGGCCCCATTTATCCCAGGGGCTCTTCTATTTGTGGTGTTATTCTTCTATTATGTGGCCAAGGGACAGGAATAGTTAAGATGCTTCTGGATGCTGGAGGGTTTTTCCTGCCACTTCCACATGGGAGGAATCTCAGCCATGATTAATGGAGCTTCTGGTTCGGGGCTTTGATCCCACTGCTAAAGCAGGAGTAACAGCTACACAAACACTGCCTTTTGGATCATTTTAGCCCAGATTTAACCTAATTTTACCAGTGGTGTCCTACAATCCATCATTTTCTCCTTGTCTTCTGCACCAACGGCGTGAACCGGAGGCAGTTTTGGAGCTGGAGACTTCCAACCCCTGTTACAAACAGGTCCCTTGACACCAGATCAGGCCAAATGGGAGCCAACAAATCCTGACCCACGGGCCCCAGGCTCCGAGGCCGGGTTTGTCCCTAAGGAAGCCTGTTTGGGAGAGCAGGGACAAGGATGCTCTCGGGTTCGGCCGCCACAAGAGGTCCCTGCGCGCCCGCTGCAGCTCCGTGCGGAGCGGATGGGGCTCTTCCTTCGCACCGTATTTGGCGATGTTCCCTTTTCCACCCGGATTCCCAGTTCCCAAACAGCCTCGGAAGGGGATTCCTTCCAGATACCAGCCCCAGGTCCATCCCGTAACGCCTTGGGGACCACATCCCATAGCAGGGATGTAAACCGAGGGTACAGCGGTTTCTTCCATAGCTGGATAACTGATCCCTTTCACAAACTGGAGTTTCTCTAGCACATTGGAGAGAGAAAACCCGTTTTCCACACTAAAGAGCTGGCAGTTCATTGATAACCCCCCCATAGGAATTCTGCCCTAGATGCTCCCCACTACTCCCAGATTGAGCTCTGCTCCCAAACACTCCCCATAGCCAAGAGATGGGGGAGCTCCTGACCCAGCATGGTCCTTCTGGCAAAAGCCTTGCTCCTTGCATCTTCCTCTCTCCAGCCAAAGAGCCATAAAACCCATTTGCTCCTCTCATGCCAGACCTGGCTCACACCTCAGATAACTTGAGCAGCCTCCAAACAAACCAAGCCGCTTGGCTTCCCAGCTTGGAATAGCGGCCGTCTCCATCCCGCTCCTGTGGGTGACACTGGAATGTCACAGAATGTCACAGCCTCGCAGGCAGATGGCACAGAAATGCTTGACATATCCTTACATATCCACATCTTCATTCAGAAAGCCTTTAGCTCCTCACTTATGGAAGGATCCAATGTGCAGAACGCACGCCGCACATGGCAAAGCACACCCAGGCACTGCAGAGGGAGCCGTGAAGGGAGCTCAAACCAGTGCAAGCTCCAGCATTCACTTCTTCCAGCCAGAAACACCTTCCTGATGTGGGAGCTGGGTGTTCTCCAGGTGGAACTGGGGCTGTACTCACTGCAGCCCCAGGAGGAAGGCTGACAACACAGACCTCTGACAACAGTGTCCCTAAGGATGCTGCCAGCTCAAGGGCTTGCGCTGGACCAGTTGCCGTGATGGATGCAAAGGATGCGCTCTCTCCTCCTCATTCCAGCTGCAGATAAGCCATGGGATAAAGACTTCCATTGACAGACATTGATCAGCAAAACCCTTTCACAGCTTCTCTGGGCACCCAGTGCCTCAGCACCCTCACAGGGAAGAGCTTCTGCCTAAGAGTCTCCCCTCTGACAGGTTAAATCCATTCCCCTTGTCCTATGTCCCTACATCCCTTGTCCAAAGCCCCTCTCCAGGATATCCGTGTGCTTCCTGGCTACACCATGATGTATTTATGCCTGCATGCTTTCTTTTGCAGTTCAGACAGTTTCAGAATGAGCCCTGCAAGGTGGAAGCCTGTCTCAGCCCCTGCATCCACTGCGTGAGCATCACACGGTGCTGAACCCGCTCAATCCCTCCTGCGTTAGGGATGTAAGCACAGGAGCTTCCTGACTGCATCTCCTGCTGCTGGCAGCTCCTCACCTTGGAACAGGTTAGGTTCCCCCCTGAATTCTCCTGTTATTAATATCCCAAACCAAGCTGCTCCCATTAATCATCTTAGCTCTGCTGCTGTCTTCACTTCGCTTCCTCTTCCTGTGCCTGAGCAGCCTTCAATAACATCTGACTCAGTGGGTGATGCTCGGTTAAAAGCAGCAGGGAAAGACCCTGACCTGGGAAAGATGGGGCAAGCAAAGGATGCATCCACACCACCATGGCTGGGTTACAGCAGGAACAAACACGATGGTAGCAGGGGCTTGAAGGGAAAAGAGCAATTCCCCTTGGATCTTTGCCTCTGAGCTTGCACTCTGCATAGTGCTGACAACCCTGGACACACAGAGAAGGAAAGGTATCTCATAAGGCACAAGCTGCTCATGTGTATCCACCCCAATGCAGGCAGCAGGGCTGGTCAGAGCTTTCTGATGCTTATCTGGGCTCTGTGTTTGAGGGCATCGCTTCCTTTCTCTCTCTTCCTCCCTATGGTTAATCCTGCTGTGTGTTACAAGCAAAGGTTAGGCCCACCCCGGGTATCTACTTCTAAAGGATGCTCTACAGAGCATCCTCCTAAATATCTGCCCCCAGGACCATCCCACTGCTGCGCTGCTTGAGGACAGATCGTGTGTCATACACAGCAGTACCACATCCCTGCAGCTAACCCAAACCTTCCCTCTTCCATCCAATGCCCTTTGCAGCTTTTAATCCTTCACCATCATCTTTGTCCCCATCAGAGATGGGCATTCTGCTTTGCCTTTATCCCTTTGCACTTACAAAAGATGCTCAGCAGCCGAGTTGGTGTCTCAGCCCCACGCTCATCCCAAAGCCTCCCCCAGCTGCATCACTTCCCGCCTGCCACTTTTCCAGGGCACTGCAGCTTTCCCCCTTAAGCAAACGGCGTTTTCCAGCCATTTCTGCTGAGTCAGAGAATGCCTCCACGAGTCCATGTGGGAACGTGCTCCTGAGGGATAATCACACGCAGTTAAAACAGGGATGCTCGGCAGCCAAATTGCTTCACATCCAGGCTCCCGGCCAGGAAGGCAGAGCCCAAAAGTGGCTGTGAGAAAATGCCTCGTGCCTGCACCCATCATGGGTGAGCCTTGCCTTTGGGCCCTGCACTGGGAGCACACAGCTTGGTGGGTCCAGTACTACCCAAATTACACTGCCAGAGCATCCCTGCGCATCCCTCTTCCCCAGGCCATGCCCACCAAAGGATTGTTATCACCCCCCATGCTCAATGGGTGAAAAAGCCTTGGTTCTGCAATGGAAATGCAATGGAATCACACTGGGAATAGCTCCCCTCCCCAGTTTTGAGGTGTGTTTTAAGGTTGCAAAACACCTCGACCGTGAAGCAGGGATGAGAACCCAGGTAGACACAATGTAGGAATTACTCCCAGCCTCTTGCAACTCCCACTCCCATGCAAAAATAGCACTGCCAGGAGCACGCTGCCCTGTGTCATCCTCCAAGGACCAGGTGATGATGCCTGGACATCCGTGGACTGAGCCAGGAGCAGCACTGGGATGTGAAGCACGGACAGAGGCGCTGAACACTTCATGCTCCTTTAAACCGATGGAGGGGGATCTGAATGGAAAGATCAGATGAAACCATTGTAAAGATTATATATAAAAGTAGTGATATCACCCCAAAGCACTGCAAAGCACTGAGCTAGAGCACTGTGCCCCAAGGAAAGGGGTGATGGAAGCCACAGTGGGGTACCACTGCATCCCGTCAAGCTTCTCTTCCCATCGCACATGACGCACCCGGTCTTTGCATCATTCCTCCATGCCCTCAATCCTTTTGCAATCCCACACCCAAACAAGATACACCTTATTAGGTGCAGAGCAGTTGCAGGAATCAGGCAAGGCTCCCTGACACGCAGCCGCTTCCAGGGGTTGTGTCTCCTGATGGATAAGGGACGTTGTGCAATGGAAGGAGAGCATCACCCAGCCGTGGGCCGGCGTTGTTGTGATTGCAAGGCACAAGGGTGGCACTTGGGTGGAGGAAACGCTCACAGACAGCAGCACTGGTAGCTTTTGGACCCTGGAAGTGGGTGCCTGAGCCCCCATGGCGGGACTGGGTGAGTACAAACCAATGCTTCTCCTATGGGACCTGGGAATGGGCAGCGGCACGGTGGGAAATGGCACCAAAACCTGCCTCCAAGCACTTCCCTTTGCTCCATTTCTTGCCTTCCTCCTCCAAAGCACAGAGGGGGGTTTCTAACCAGCCCCTCAGCTGATTGCTAACGCAGAGACAGTGCTAAAACCTGAGGTTTTTGGCTCTTTCCTTACACAGAGGGCATTTTGGGCAGGGATTACTGCTCTCATGGCCATTAGCATGGTAACACCTCTGCACTGACATTGGAGAGCTTTCAGAGAGGCTGAAGCAGCTCTTCAAACCCCAATCTGGTTTATAGCAGCAGCACCTCCCCTTAAATGCTTGTGTTTATGCACGACAGTCATTACTCACTTCTGCTCCCTTGCTGCAGTCGAGTTGAATGGGACATGGGGCTGAAACCAAGAAACTAGAGGAGAGAAAGGCAGAGGAACCGGCTTTAGAGGGTTTTCCACCAGATTAAGGGGTTTTCCTGCTATACCAGGAGTTCAGGACCCCTTGAGCACCCCATTGAGCTGCTCACACTTAGATCCCTGCATTGCGGGGTGGGATCGGGCGGTGATGGCACAAGGGTACCCAGGGGAGCATCATCCACCAAGGGAGCAACGGCATCCGCGGCAGCCAACCCTTCCCTCTGCTCCTCCATAGGCAGCAGCATGGATGGCAATGACAGCATCACCGCAGAGGTCTGCAAGGAGGCTGATGTTGGGGATGGAGAGTGAGTACCCAGCAGCGCGGGTACCCTGGGGCCATGAGCAGACACCAGGGTGATGGTGGAAGGGGACCAGGGCATGGGCTCCATCCCTCTCCTCTGCTCCCGCAGGCTCTGGGAGGTGATGGTGGCCGGGTACCCGGTGCTGCTGGTGAGGAACAAGAAGGAGTTCAGTGCCCTCAGCAGCAAGTGCCCCCACTATGGTGCCCCGCTCAGCAAAGGTAGAGCCCTGGCTCTTGCAGGGGACAGAGACCGTGGTAGGGAGCTGGGCACGGAGCTCTCCCCACCTCTACTGCAGGAGTCTTCAGAGGGGAGAGGCTGCGCTGCCCTTGGCATGGGGCCTGCTTCAACATCAGGACCGGAGACATTGAGGAGTACCCAGCCCTGGACTGCCTGCACCGCTTCAAGGTGAATTCTTCCCTCTTCCTCCTCCCATAGCATCAACGGGGTTGGGAAAGACCTTTTGTGAGCGTGGAGTCCAACCTTTAAGGCAGGACTGGCGGCTCCACCACTACCCCGTGTCACCAGTGTCCTCCACACTGGTCGTTGTCACAAGCTCCATGTCCCTCACACCGGGCTGAAAGCTCTGGCCACAGCTCTGTGGTCCAGGTCACACAGAGCTACAACACATGGGGTGGCTTCTTGGGATCATGTGAGTCCCAGTTGTAGAGCTTCTTTCCAGTGAAGGTGATGCCGTGCATCCCAGTATCCCCTCTCTTTGGCAAAGAGAGGAGGAATTACACCTCTTCCTGAGGGCTTTTGGAAGGAGGAGGGAAGCTCATGAGCTCCTCAGCATCATTTAACACCCAAGATCCCTCCAAGTCACTCTGGTCCATTGCCCCAGAGCCTGCCAGGAAAGCTCCTACCACATCCTCACTGAAATGAGCTCTCCTTTCCCCCCTTCAGGTGACCGTGGAAGATGGCAAGGTGTTTGTGACAGCAAAAAGGAAGGTATGGGCCTTACCTGCAGGCACCAAGCGCAGGCAGCACCTCGGGGTAGGGGCGATTCCAGCATCCCCTGTTTGCTTCCAGGATCTGGCGAGCAGCCTGAGGGTGAAGGACACAAGCAAGCGATGCCCTCTGAGCCGGGCCACGGTGCTGCTGCTGGGGGGAGGTCAGGGATGGGGTCCCCCACCTTGTGCTGCGAGGTGCTGCTCTCCTCTGCAAGCAGGAGCCGCATCCTCCGTTATCCCCATGGTGTAAGGGATGAGCATCTCTTGTAGGTGTTAAGGGATGAGCATCTCTTGTAGGTGTTGCTGCTCTGGTGTGTGCAGAGACCCTGCGCCAAGAGGGCTTCACCGGCAGGATCATCATGGCCACCAAGGAGAAACACGTCCCATATGACAAGTCCAAACTGACCAAGGTCTGTGTGGGAAGGGCATGAGGGTACCACACCAGAAGGAGGGGCATGGGCCACTCAGAACCAGGCTGAGTGATGAAGGAGCTGTTCCGGCAATGGAGCGCTGAGGCATCCACAAGCTAAAGGGGCACCATTTCCATCTCCTTCCTCCCAGGGGATCAGAGTCCCCATAAGCTGATGGTTTTACCCCCTTTCACTGAGTTCTCCCCATTAGAGCTTGTGTTCATGGATGAGGGGAGACAAGAAGAGGATGGGGCAGTGTGAGGAGCTGGGATTTACTCCTGCATAGTGCACCTCTTGTGCAAGCTCACTTCCCAGTGAGCACTGCAAGCGTTTTGCTGCCTCTACTTCTGCTCTGTCTCCAGGAAATGAACTTGAAAGCCGAGGACATCTACATGAGGACACCCGAATTCCTCCATGCACACGGCATAGAGCTCTGGATGGAGAAAGAGGTACAGGGGGAGCTGAGCTCAGACCTCAATGGGTGCCATGGGGAGCCTGGCTTTGGTGCTGTCATAGTGCTCCCAAAGCCCAAGACCTGTAGGAAGGGAGGGAGAGGACCCCAGCATCCCTCCTCTCGCCCAAGAAGCAGGGCACACAGGATGGACGATGCGCTGGGACATCACTGCACCACTGTTACACGGGAAGGTCTTTGCCTCCTTTCTCCCACAGGCAGCATCAGTGGATTTCCAGCAGCAGGAGGTGCACTTCATGGATGGGTCCTCCCATGGGTACAACCAGCTGCTCATCGCCACAGGCTGCCAGTGAGTGCACACTGCATTTACCATGGTAGAGAGAACAAAACGGGTCAGCCCTGGGGTGTGAACTGCTCCGAGAGGATGCGGAGGGAAGAGGCAATAGGAGATGCGAGGATGGAATGGGATGATGCAACCAAGAGGTTGCACAGGTCTGTGCTTCGTTCCCCATGATGGGATGTATCCGGATGCTCTCTTTCAGCTCCAGCCTCCTCAAAGTCCCAGGAGCAGACCTGCAGAACGTGTGCGTGCTCCAAACCCCAGAGGACGCCAGCAAGATCTTGGAGCTGGCAACCGGGAAGAACCTGGTGATCATTGGAGCTTCATTCATAGGTACCAGGCTGGAGAGGGCATCGAATCACCAGTGATGCCCTGAAGCCCAGTTGGGTTGCATTGCACATCAACTGGAAGCCCGTGGGGCAGGGATGCTCATTCGCTATGGCTGGTGGGGGTATGCGGTACAGAGCACACACTGATGCTTTCCTCTGATAGCCAGAGACTTTGGGAGCTGTGAACAGTTCCTGGTCATGGACAGAGGGAAATGTGCCTTAGGGAAAGGTCCCTGTGCTCCAGAGGAGCTGATTCATAAGCAGAAGGATAAAGCACAGGATGGATGCTGTCTTGCACACAACCAGGAGCTGCTCTTTGCGCTAACACCCAGGTCCATAGCACATGAGACCAGAGAGCAGGGGAAGAGCTCAATGCCTCAGCCCAGCTACACACAGAGGAGCAGCTCAATGCAGTTCAATGCAACGCATCAGATGCGTTCTCCTCACCTGGAAGGAGGGAAGACTTCCATGCTTCCTCACCTTGGGCATTGCCTTTGCCTCGCAGGGATGGAGGCAGCCGCCTTCCTCTCGGACAAGGCTGCTGCCATCGCGGTGGTGGAGAAACAGGAGCTCCCTTTCCAAAGGGTGCTGGGTCCTCAGGTCGGAGGCGTCACCATGAAGGTGAGGAAAAGCTGGTGCCCGTTCCTAGGATGGGGAACCCACGTTATCCAAGCAGCCCCGGTGCTGCTCACACCAAAGGAGCAATGCACACAGGCTGGGCCCAGCCTCCCTCCCATCCCTCTTCATCCTCAAGCCCTCCTTCATCCCAGACCCCATGCACCAATCCTGACCCGGACAGCCGAGCCGGGGACACACATCAAACCTCTCTGAGCTGTATTTACACCATTCCAGCCTGGAATTGCCCAGTGAACGCTCACCCCATCCTTTTCAGATGCTGCAAGCCAAAGGGGTGAAGTTCTACATGAAAGCGGAGCTCCGCGAGCTGCAAGGGAAGGATGGAAAGGTCAATGCTGCCGCTGCCATCCCGAAACTGCTGCTTTTAGGTGGAAAAACCCCAAACGGAGCATGAACTCAGTGCCTGCACCTGGGTTTCCCCTCCCACATCAACACCTTCAGGGTTCTTGTATTGAGAGCAATTCCCAGCTCAGAGGGCAGCAGTTTGTGCTTGTGGCAATGGTGCTGGGTGTTCTCTTAGCATCCATGGGGTGGACAAGGCGGAGACAGCAAAGGAGGAGGCAGCAGGGAGGCTGTGAGAATTAGGGCAGAGCTTTTAACCCTTTGGTAACGGCTCCTGCTTCCTCCCTAGGTCGCAGAGGCCGTTCTTGCCTCCGGAGAGAAGCTACCTGCGGATGTGGTACTGGTGGGAATAGGTAAGAGACCCCAGGTGGGAGATGGAGGCAGCTTTGGGAATGGGGTTCAGGGGAACAGGCAGGGAGCTGAACTCATTCCCAAGGCATTCCCTGCTGTTTCTTTCCCACTGTTATCATCCAGCCCTTCCTCTTGGTCCCAAATGCATGGGGAAAGGCAGCAGCCCATGGGCAAACACCGGCAGGAGGAAAGCAGCGCCTTTGGATGCTCGCTGAGCCCCACAGGGCACTGCTCTGCTCCGAGCACGTGCTGAGGCCAAGGTTCCTCCCTGCTCTCACCCTTGCTGCTCTCCCTGCAGGGACAGTCCCCAACTCAGCATTCCTGAAGGGCACCTCCATTGCCAGAGACGCCAGCGGAGCCATCCTGGTGGATCTGGTGAGTGCCAGCTGCATGCGCCTGGTCCCCACCTCCTCCCTACCCTCTCACCGCTGCACCCACTGCTGTTTGCCCCTTTAGCACATGCAGACCAACATCCCCAATGTCTTCGCTGCCGGGGATGTGGTCTCCTTCCCTGTAGCGCTGCTCAATGGGGAGCGGTGCAGCATCCATCACCAACAAGTGGCTGAGGCCCACGGTAAGGCAGAACACCCACCTCGATCCCCAGCTCCCATCCCTAGGGATGGGCATGGGGCAGGAGGAACAGGGGGATAACAAGAGGCAGGGGATCTCTGCTGGTTCATCACAGGTCACACCGCTGCCCTAAACATGCTCAAGAAAGAGAAGCAGCTGCACACCATTCCCTTCTTCTGGACCACGATGCTTGGGAAGAGCATCCGCTATGCAGGTAGGGGGGAGAGAGATGAGAACAGCAAAGCTCATCCATGAGCTGGGGCTTAGAGACACTCAGAGCTCCCTTCAAGCAGCCCTTTGCAAGCCCTGCTTCCAAGCTCTTCCCTTTGCAAGGCAAGGAGAGGGCCTGGATCTGTTCTGCTTGTCCAGGGTCTTCATGCCTACTCCCCAGCCACTGTCCCCTGTGATGCCAGGCTGCGATGCTCTCTCTTGCAGGCTGCGGGAGGGGATACACGGACACTGTTGTGAAGGGCAGCCTGGAGCAACAGAAGTTCCTCATCTTCTACATCAGGTGAGTGAGCCCATGGGCACAGGGCACAGGGCACAGTCCCCTTCCTCCCAGCAGGGGCTCCACATCACCTCCAATGCCCGCACACCGCAGCCACTGAACCAGCAGCGAGATGGTGTCAGAGCAAACCAAAGCAGGGATGGAGAAGAGGATGAGCTCCAATGGAGGCACCATGCGGGCAGGGAGCCTGGCACACACCTCCTCTCCCTCTGCTCCCAGCATCACCCTACCCGGAGCCTCCAAAGCACGGGGTACCACTGGGCTGGGAGCACTGGAGGGAGCCACATCCTTCTGCTCTCTCTTTCAGGGACGGTGCAGTGACTGCAGCAGCCAGCCTGGGCTGTGACCCCATGGTGGCTCTGCTCGCTGAGGCTTTGTACACCGGGAAACAGATCTCTAAAGAGGAAGCAGAGTAAGGGAGAGCCTGGGTGAGCTGCGGGCAGCAGCTCCGCTCTGCATCCCTCTGCCAGCAGAGCCCAATGGGAGACACGGGGCCCAAAGGAGTTAGTGCGACCCTCAATGCAGCTCTCCTTTACAGGGCCTGCGACATCAATAACATACCCCAGCTGGCAGAAAGCTAAGCTCAGTCCATGCCCTGCTGTGTCCTGGCACAAGAGGAATAAAGCCATAGAGCCAATAAAGCCATAGAGGAATAGAGCAAAGCTGGACCCAGCCCTTGGCTGCTCACTCGTGTGCTGGGGCAAAGCAAAGCAGTGCCTGATGCTCACTTCTAGGCAGTGATTTGCTGGGTAAGAGGAGGATGCTCGCATCCTGGAGCTCAGCTGAGGGTGTGAGCAGACGGAAGCAGCCACACGTTCCCATGCCCACCCTGCTCCTCTTGGTGCTGGCACGGAGCTCCCATCCAGCCCATTGGACACACATTGACCTTCTGCTTTGCAGAAGCAGAGGTTCAGAGCCAGGGGAGCTGTGACAGAGGGAAGCAGCTCCCCCAATGGGAACTAATGCAGGAAACACCCAGAGCTGCATCCGACCTCTGAGCACACAGCAACCTGCTGGCACTGCTACAGCTGCCTTCAGCACTGCATCAGTGAGCGCTTCCCACCCCAACCGCACTCAGCATCCCCTCTCCTGCTGCATCCCTGCGCTGGATGCTTCCAAGAGGAGGCCAGATGCTGCAGGAGCACGGAGCTGATGCTGGAGGAAGGCATTGCACAGCAGCAAGGATGTGCTTGCTACAGGAAACACTGCACTTACTCACCGGTCACATGAGGCTCTGCAGGAGGAAGGGTAAACCCCAAGGGCTAGGCAAGTTCCCATAGGGACACTTCTGTTGTCAGCCTAAAACCCCTCTGCTTTGACATCCAGTGCCTATGTGCTCAGGAGGTGAGACCGTGCTGGTTTGGTGTTCAAGTGTTCAGGCTTGCCCCTTTTTATGCATGAATTTGACCCAAACTATGGCAATTTACATTACTTGACCCAAACTATGGCAATTTACATTACCTGACCCCTGGGCTTGGCGCTGCTGTTCAGGGCTGTATCATGGAAAGAGCTGGTCTGCAGCAGAGGTTGGTCCTTCATGACAGCAGCATGACACCAAGGCACACCAAGTGGGGATGCTGGTGGCTGCAGCACACAGCTCCCCTCCTCTCCAGCATGGGAGCTGCTCCTCCTTGCCCTCGAGCACCCAGTACACACACACACACACACACATTGAGCCCATGACTTCTTGCCCCCTGGGTGCACTCCAGGGCTTGTTGAGCGCTGAGCAAGCGCCAATTGTTCTGCATGGACTTGCAGTGGGGCGGCTGCAGTGGAAGGGATGGGCTCTGCCTCGAGCTGGAGATGCTCATCCACGGCCCCATCTGCTCCGAGCACAATTTGAGGGGCTTCGGCTGACAGCAACCCTGAAGCTGCTCACGAGCATCAGCAGATAGAGCAGAGCAGCTTTAAACCAGGAGGCAGGAACCTGCTCCACTGCTACCACTGAATGGCCACTTTCTGCACAGCCCCGAGGGCCAGTATTTGGTACAGGCAGGCACATCCAGTTGAGACTGTGCAGAGCTGAGTCTGCAGAGCACTGCTCCTCCCTGCCCAGCCTCAGAGCAGGAACAAGCCCTGCTCTTGGCCCCAAACAGAAGCCCCCAGCATCTTCCATTGCTTCCCAGCCACCAAGGGAGCAGCAGCTCTGGGGGTGCAGAGCCTGCCAGGAGGGGCACACAGAGGCATCCACACTGCTCTGAGCTGTAATAGGGCCACAGCTCCCCTCTTGCGCAGTGTAAAGTAGGGGGGTCTCTAATGCTGGAGAGCAGCTTCCAAGTCCCATTCAGGGCAGCTTTCTGCTGTTGGTCACCAGCAACACCAAGCCTGGAGCATGGGGAAGCCCATGGAGAAGCCCTTCTCCCAATACCTGGAATCCTGGAGCTGCCTCAGGGCTGCCTGGCCCTGCACAAGGATGGTTCCTGGAACAGGCTGTGTGTGACTCGGCCCTGAGTCACCCGCTCCCAGTGGCGCACACAGGGCAATGTGGGTGTGGAGCTGGCCCCATCCCATTGCCCAGCTCATGGCAGGGTTCATCCTGCTCTGGAGCTCAGCAGCAGGTCAGGCCTATGAGCTACACCCAGCCCTGGGTCACCTCCTGCTCTGGACACCCTACAACAACCATGGACCCATGGCACAGGCGGGGGAGCGAGCTCTGGTACTGTGTCCCCCATCCCAGCACCCTCCTACCAACCAGGTCCAGCCACCCCATAGGCAACAGACTCCCTAAAACCTGAGCTGTTGAGGAGCACATAAAGTTTAATGCCTCTTTTGGTCCTTCTCTAGGTGGCCCTCAGCTCAGTGCCACGGCTCAGTGTGAAGGAGAAGCCTTCATCCCGGTGATGCTCATCCTCAGCCTTCAAACACTGCTCATCCCGGTTGCCGAGGGCGCAGGTCCGGCCAGCATCCAAGGTCCCGGTGATGAGTGTGGCTACATTCAACAGTTCTTCAACTGGCAGCTTTAGCTACTAGAGAAGGACATAAAGCTTGCCACTGAAGAACTGGTGCTGGTTAGCCAGGAGCGGGGCGCTGGGACAGCACCTGAGGGAGGGAATGCACATGGTTAGAGCCAGGATTGAACCGCGCCGAGCGGAGGCATCACCCGCAGCAACCACCTCATCCCTACCGCGGTCCCATAGGAGAACCCCTGGAGCATCACAAGGGATCCAGAGGCAGCTCCAACCTCGACCTTGGCTCTTCCCATCTCCCAACGCAGCCGGTGTGAAAGCTCCAGCACTCGATCGGGGCAGGGAAATCAAGGCACTAGGAGACAAGAGAACCAGGTCCGGCATGGACCGCAGGTAGGGGTTACGGCATTCCCTGCCTGCTCACCTCGGGCATCCGAGCTGGCACCATCCCAGCTGGCCGGGGACCAGCCCCTGCCTGCCAGGGAACACACTTCATCAGGGCACCGCTGCCAAGCCCCCGGCAGGGGGAATTTCGGGAAGCGCAGCGTTATTCCATGCCCGTTTTGATGGGGAATGAAGGCACCAACCCCCGGGGCTGGTGCGGGACCCTGCAGCTTCCCAATCCGCATGGAAAAACACCCCTTTTCCCCAACGTTTTGAATGCGGCGTTCAACCCCGATGGAAGGGACCCATTGCCCCACAGCATCCCCCCTCCCACCCCATAGGCACTCAGCATCCCGGCTGGCCCCAAGCCTTGGCGGGGTGAGGCCGGGTCCCGGTGGGGCGGATCGCGGTGCCGGGCCGGGAAGCAGCAGCGGCGGCGGCGGCGGGGCCTGGCAGGGATGCCGAGCATTCCTGGCGTGCCGGGTACATCTGGTCCGGATTCCAACGAGCGGGTCCCGGCCCTGCTCCACCCCCGCCGGGCCGTGAATCAGCACCCGCGGCTCAGACACCGGCCCCGGGGGCTCTGCAAGCACCGACGGGAAGGGAGGGGGGGGTGTTCTACCGGTAACAGCGCTCACCCCCAGCCCTTCTCGGTACCGACAGAGTACAGGGCCCCGGTGGGAGCTCGCCCCGTTCCCAGCACCCCACTGAGTGCCCCCCTCCCGCTGTAACCGGGTCACCCCCCCAATGTCTCTCCTCTCGGTAGAACCAACTCCCTCCCCCTCGCAAACGGAGACCGTTTCCCCCCCCCGTCCCCCGTCCCACCCCGGTTCCTCCATTCTCCCCCTCCGCCCCGGGGCACCCCACGGACCCCTCCGCCCCCTCGGCTGCCCGGGATGCTCCGGTCCGTGCCCACAACGGGGAGCGGCCGCGGGTCAAAGTCTGCCCAGCCCGGTCCCGGAGTGAAGGTCACCCCCGGGGCGGCCACCGCCCGGCGTGGGGCGGCTCCGGCCGCGGCCCCGCCCGCCCCACCGGGACCCCCAGGGCCGAGAACCGCGCCCCGGTCCCACTCTTTCCCCACACCCCCCCTTGGCTCCGCCGCTACCGGCAGCGAAGCCGCCCGGCCCAGGCGGAACCTGAAGCGCTCCTTAAGGGTCTGGGACCGAACCGAGCCGGGCCGGGCCCTGCTGCACCGCCCTACCCCGGGAAAAGGTGACCTTCCCCGGCAGGACCGCGGCGGGGTTACCGGGACCCCCGACCCCCGGTGAGGGGACTCGGCTGCCCTTAACGCTTGTCCCGGCGCGGCTCCACCGGACCGGACCTACCTGAGGGGCTCGGCCCGACCCAGCGCCCCGCTGGGCCCGGTCCAACCCGTCCCGGTGCCGCCGCCGCCTCCCTCCCGCCGCCGGCGGCTCCCGTCTCTGATCAGCTGGCGGAGTCATGACGCAGCCACCCACCAGCCCCACCCCTGACCAATCACCGCCCCGCCCCAGCCGCGCCCCGCCCACCGCCTCGATTGATGCTCGCTCCCACCAATAGCGACGCAGCACAGCCAGCAGCTCAACCAATGGAAAGGCAAAGGCAGCGCTTTGCCCCACCTACCCCCATAAGGGGAACACCGGGCTCTCCCCCAGCCCAACCGGCGGTTGCCTAGGGAACGGGCGCGCCCACCCCGGCGCGGGGCGTGCCGGGAGATGTAGTGCGGCGCGGCGCTCCCGGCATGCCCCGCGCGCTGTGAGTTGGCATTTTCAAGGCGGGGGGGGCGGATGGCGGCTCTTAAAGAGCCCGACCCTCCCCAGCGGAGCGGGTCCCTGCCGGGAGCCCAGCGCTGCCGAGATGCCATCCCCCCTTCCCCGGCCTCTTTCGGCCCTTCCATCTCCGGGGCCGGTGGCACAGCCCCGAGTGCGAGAAGTTGCTGTCTAAGTCGGTAGCCAATCAGAAGTGAGCACTTTCCGCACGCACCAATCGGAAGGCGCGGTGGGCGGGGCCGCGGGAACTCGGCTGACCCCGATGACTTGGCAGCGCCGAGCGATGACTGGACAACTTCTTTAAAGGGGCCGCGCCCTCCAAGTGTTGCGGGGCGGGGGGGAGGCACAGGGATGGTACGACCCGATAACCGGGGCTCG